GGGTTTCAGATCGCAACATCCCAGAGCTGTTTTGTGACCGGGAACAAATCCCCAAATTGAAGAACGGAGGGACTTTCTCAAAGCCAGTTGTCAACTGATGCCACTGGTCCAGGCGGGAGGAGGCTGGGCCCAAGCTGGGGCCTGGAGGACGAGGACGGGACAGGCTCATGTCAACAGTAACAGTAGCAGCTGAGACCCTCAGCTCCTCACTATGTGCCTAATCCTGCCTGGAGCCTTTTGCAGTTTCTTCCCTTAGTCTCACAAGGCAAAGACGTGGGCACCATTCTCCCTCCTCCTGGACGACTGAGGAAACTGAGGCCCACAGCCTCCCGAGGCCGCCTCAGCTGCCACCGACTCTGATCACGTCCCGGCTCTCTCTGCGCCCACAATCGCTTCCATCCAGCGTCCACCTCTCGGCCCTGCTCTGTCCTCTGCGTCCTCCTTGCCTCCTGGAGCAGCTGGGAGGCCACGTGGCTTTAGATGACGGGGATTTCTTCCCAACCAAAATGTCAGGGCCAGGGCAGCCCGACCCAGCCCGGAGGGCTGGAACTTTGGAGTAGAAAGAGGGGGCCTGAGTCTCAGCAACCTTACTCACTTGTATGATCTGAGATGCATCACTCTGCTTCTCTGAGCCTCAGATGCGACCAGGCCTACCTCCGTCACTGGAGTGTTACAGCCATGTGGAGGCAAATAACAAAAAGCCCAACTCAAAGTGGCCTAAACAGGAAGGAAGCTTTATTTCTCTTATAAATAGAAGTCAGCACTAGGGTGAATAATTTATGCTCAGTGATGGCATCAAAGACCCAGGGTTTCTCCATCTTTCTGTTCATCCATCCTTGCTCACCTCATGGTGGCAAAATGGCTGCAGTAGCTCCCGGCACAATGTGCTCAAACAACAATGTCTACAGGCCTGAGGCGAGTGGGCTCCTTCATCCTGCTGCTCCTTTTTAAGAGAGAGAAAAACCTTCTGGAAGCACCCCATCAGACCTCCCTTGCATCTCATCAGCTGGAATGGCACATATGCCCTAGCTCCGTGCCTGGAGTCTTAGTTTGCTCCGGCCACCCAAAACTGGGTGACTTAAACAACAGAATTTTCTTTTCTCACAGTTCTGGAGGCTGGAAGGCCAAGATCAAGGTGCTGGTGGTGTTTCATCCTGAGGCCTCTCCCCTTGGCTTGTAGACAGCTGTCTTCCCTCTGCGTCTTCACACGGTCGTCCCTCTGTGTGTCTGTGTCCTAATCATGTCTCCCTACAAGGACACCGGTCATATTGGAACAGGCCCACCCTAAGGACCCCTTTTCACCTTAATGGCCTCTTTAAGACCCTCTCTCTAAATACGGTTCCACCAGGAGATGGAAATTGAAGTCTCCGCTCTATATGACTGACCTGTTAAAACAAAATTAAAAATCCTCTAGGAGACATTACTCTGCCGACAAACCCCTACCCTGGGGAGGAGTCGCTGCTGGGGGCATCTAGGGATGGTACCTCCTGGAGGGCGGGGAAAGCACTCGAGGCCCCTGGCTCCTGCCTGCTTCGCTGGGTAAAGCCTGGGTGCCCAGCTGGTGGTGGTGCCCTACTGGCCCTGGCCTCCTGGTCTTGCCTGGCAGGTGGCATCTCAGCCTGGAGTGGTGACAGCTGAATGGGCCCCTTGGCAGCAAGGAAACGATCCATTCCTGGCAGTGGGGGAGGCTGGCGGGGGGACACGAGCTGCTGGCAGCCAGAGCTGGTGCGTGGAAGGCACCCGAGTTGCTCCTTTCCGGGCGGCTCCATCCCTGCTCTGAGCAGCCACAGGGGAGCCTCCTTTCAGCACTTTCCAGAGGATTCCTTCCCACCCTGGCCGGTCTCTCAGAGGGAGATGCAGCCAGGATGAGCGGAAGGGTCAGAGATGCCTTTCCCGCCCAAAGGTTTTCATTCCTCATTCCGTCATTCATTCATTCACCCACTCACTCACTCATTTGTTCATTCATTCACTTATTCTTTCATTCACTCATTTATTCATTCACCCACTCACTCACTCATTCATTCACACATTCATTCATTCCCTCACTCATCCTTTCCTTCACTCATTTGTTCACTTATTTGATTTGCTCATTCTTTCACTCACTCATTCATTCATTTGCTCATTCATTCATTTGCTCATTCATTCATTCGCTCATTCATTCATTCGCCCATTCTGTCATTCACTCATTTGTTCATTCGTTCACTTATTCTTTCATTCGTTCATTTATTCATTCAGTCATGCATTCATTCATTCACTCATGCATGCATTCATTCATTCACTCATTCCTTCATTCCCTCAACAAATATCTGCTGGGTGCCTTGTGGCAGGTCAGGCACTATCCTGCTTCCGCTGACGTGGTGGTGAGTGAGCAAAGTCCTTGGCCTCATGGCGTTTGCAATCTAGTGAGGGAGACAGACAGTGAGCGAACACACCAGTAGGTGAGGAGTGCAATGCCAGGGCTGTGTGAGAAGAGAAGCAGGGTGGGGAAGGAGAATGAGGGGGGCACATAAAACTGGGGCCCGGGGGGGGCCTCTCTGGGAGACGGCGCTTGGACAGAGACCCGCAGGAAGTGAAGGGAGGAGCCACAGCCACGGGAACGGGACTCCAGGCCGCGGGGGTGCTGCTCGCGGGAGCCCCCAGAAGAGCGGGCTTGGGGCTTTGGAGAAAGAGCCAGAGGCCAGTGTGGCTGGAGGAGGGCGAGCGAGGGCGGGTCCCGCGGCCGCGCAGAGGGCTTCAGCGTGCCCTTCGAGCAGGAAGGAAACCACTGTCAAGCTCGAGTCGGGAGTGAGGTGGCGTGATTTGTGGTGGCGGGATGCGAGGGCTCGTGCTGCGCCATGCAGGCAGGAGCCAGGGGGTCGGCGCCTGCAGAGCCTGAGGGGAAGGGCTGTACGAGCTCTGCTACCCCCTATTATTGTCAGTCTCCTTTTACAGAAGGAGAAACAGAGGCTTCGAGGGGCAACTAACTTGCCCAAGGTCAGCCGCTAGCCACGGTGGAGCCGCTCTGTTAGCGGAAGCCGGGCTCAGCAGCACCGTGGACCGGGGTCCGGCAGACCCACAGCCAGGTCCCGGCCCTGTCCCTTCTCAGCTGTGACTTCGGATGATGAAACTCTATAACATGAGGGGTGGCAGGTGGCCTCGGAGATGGCACCGGGGGTCCCTCCTCCTGGTGTCCCCGACCTGTGTAATTCTCTCCAGGGAGCGACCTAACACAACATGGGGACCTTGAGGGAGGCCACGTCCCCGATTAGGTCAGGAAAGACTGTGAGCTCATCTTGCTAGGAGAGTCGCTGCGTCCTGGGCTTGCAGACTTCAAGAAAGCTGGCAGCCGCGGGGGGGCGGCCCATGCCGTAAGGAACCGAGGGCGGCCTCTGGCCACAGCCCACAAAGCACGGAGCTCTGCCCGCAGCTGCAAGGGAGCTGGGAAGGGGACCCTTTCACAGTCAAGCCTGCAGATGAGACCGTGACCCCGGCAGCCAGCTTGACTGCAGCCCGGGACAGACCCTGAATGAAGCACGGGGTCCAGCTGAGCCATGCCACACTCCTGACCCACAGAAATTGTGAGACCGTAACTGTCTTATCGTGAGCTGCTGCAATTTTGGGTAATTTGTTCCACAGCAATAGCTTACTGACACAGGGGGTGATACTTGTGGCTGCCACTGATAGCTATCTGGGGATCAAACACAATGCTTCCTATAAGGCCTGTGGCCCCCTGCCCGGTACAGAGTGACATCTCAAGGAACAGTCGCTGTTTTCACTTTCATGATTAAGTCCTTCCTGAGGGCGAATGAGAAGCCTGTGCCACCCCGACTCCCGGCCTGAACCGTGCCTGGGGTTTGCACAGATCTGAGTCTAGAAGGGCCAGGCTCGGACCTCCCACCCCGAGGACAGGAGTGTCTTTGCCCCAGTCACTTTGCCCCTGCAGGACCTCATGGTTGTCCTGATGTCCGTGACTTGGCAGGTCCCACCCTGCACCCTGGACTGGTTTGTACCCCAGCTTCACCCTCAGGGCGACCTCAGGATTTGTGCCCCCGCTGCCCCACCTCCAGAAGCCAACCTTTCTTAGAGAAGGGCCTTCCATCCCCAGCCCAGGGAGGAAGGGGTTGGAGGGGTGGCAGGGGCGGCATGCAGCCAGAGGCTCCAAGGCGGGCTCAGCCTGGCCCCTTGGTGTCAGAGGCGTCCAGGCAATGAGTGGGCCCCAGCACTGGCCTCGCTCCACATTCCCTCCTGGGAGCCACAGCTCCTGGGTGGCTGTCTGCATGGCCATGAACCCGCATGTGCACATGGGCACACACACGCACATGCACACACACACGTGCACACGTGCACACACACAGGGAGAGTCATTGGCTCCACTGCGACCTCAGGACGATGACCACTTCTCTCGGGGAGGTTAGGAGCTGCTGTCTGTCCGTTCTCTCAGGGGCAGGACACACGTATCCAGGCCCTGGGCCACCCTCTGGCCTCCCCCAGCACACACCCTGGGATGTCACGGGGTCTCGGGACGTCTCACTCTCTGTCTCTGTCTCCCCTTCGTGTCTCTCTCTCCCCGCCCGGCATCTCGATACCGCTCTATCCCTTTCCCTCTGACCCCCTTGGCTGCAGGCACCCCCGTCCACCTCCCACTCCCTAACGCCACCCTGTGCTTTCCTGCCTCTGTGTCTCCTGAGCCAGCTGAGCCTGCTGCCATCTCCACAGAGGGCTACCTCCAGACAGAGCCACCTCCTCCTTGAAGCCCACCCTCATTACCTCCTCACCCCCTCCCCCTGAACAGAGAGCTCAGTCGTCTGAAGTCCGAGGAGTCGGTGGGTCTCTCTCTCCACCTGTGTCGTGTGATTTGTGGCCTGGCCCTGCTCCCCTCCGCTCCCCTCTCTCCTCCCTCACCAGGCTCAGCCATCCTCAGGGGCAGGGACCGACAGCAGCCTGGCTGAGGTCGGCACTCAGGAAGGGAGGAGGGGAGGAGGGGGGAGAGAGGGAAGACAGATGGAACATGGAGACACCAAACGAATTTATTGAGCCCCTACTGTGTGCCAGGCGTCGCCCTAGGCGCTGTGGAAACATCAGCTCCCTCGGGGGTGGGAGGGGCGTGAGTGTGAAAATGTAACTGTGATAAGTGCTGTGGGAAGGGAAGACCGGGCTGCGGCCGCCACCGGCTACCACCCTGACCCCCGACTGGGGGTCCGAGAAGGCTTCCTGGAGAGTGTGCGCCTAGGCTGGGGCCTGGAGGGCGAGTCAGCAAGGTGAAGAGGGCAGGAAGAGTGTTGCAGACAGAAGGAACAGCAAATGGGAAGCTCAGAGGCAGGGAGGGAGGCGGGAAGGGTAGGTGGACAGGTGAGTGGATGGGGACGGGGGAGGAACGGGGGGCTGCAGGACCCCCTGGTCAAGTACAGGGTCAGAGCCCCCTAGCGGGAGGTGAGGGTTAGGGTCCCAGGTCGGGCCATTATCCCCTTTGGCCCTTTGGTCTGAATCCCTGGCCAACAGGAATGACCGCCGCCCCCACCCCAAGCCCACCGCAGAGTCCAGGCCCTCGGCCTCAGTCCCTTCCCTCCCCGTCCTGGGAGCCTGGAGCTGGGGTTATTTATAGACCAAGATAACCCCCTGCCCCGGGCAGACGCTGGCCTCTCTCCAGCCGTTTCCTTCTATTCTTCTGCTGTGTGTGGGGAGGGCCCTCTCCCCGGAGCCCCCCCTCCTTCTCTTCTCCTTATCTCTCTCCGGGCTGTTTCCTGCCCCAGGGGACAGAGAGCGGGAGGCAGGCCCTGTGCATGACTGTGATAGGGAGCGAGGTTCCTGGAGGCTCCAGGGCCGGGCGCCTGCTGGGGAGGCCCCACGGCCACTCTCTCTGCTGGCATGGGGCACCGAGGCTGGGGTGTCCAGATGTGCGGGCCCTGCCTGCACGCGGGGCTGGGGTGGTGGGGCCGGTCCATGTCGCAGCACGCGATTTCTGCCTGGCTCTGCGTCCTCGGGTGAGTGGCAGCCTCCCCCAGCTTCCGTTTCCCCGTCTGTGAAATAGGGGTGGCGCGGGTGCCCCTCTCCCAGGGCCACTGTGGGCACTGAGGGAGACGGTGGAAGTCACCGCACCACTGGGGACGTCTCACTTCTGTTGCCGAGGCAGAGAGCCCCTGGAGGACTCTGCGGGGTGGGACGGGGGCGTGGGGTTGGGGGGCTTGCAGGACCTCGGGAAGGGTGGGGCGGGCTGGGGACTGCGGGGCCGGCGCATCTTGGAGCTGCTGAGCTCAGGTCTGGGGCCCCCTCCCCTGGTCCTGGGAATTGCTCAGGAACCTGCCGCTGGCACCCTGCCTCCAGCTTCCGGAAAGGACCCAGGCTCCCGTCCTTCTCCCCTCCCACCCCAACACACACACACAGAGAGCAGGGGTGGAGGGAGTGCCCTCCCACTGTCCTCTCGTAGCAAGTGGGGGTGCGGTCCACAGAGACCCCTCTTCCTAGCAGGGTGGCTCAGAGAGAAGCGCTGACATTCCCCTCTGTGACTTTAAGGAGCTGCCGTGTTAACCCTGGGCTGTTGAGACACCCCCTCCCTGGTCCCCAGCTCGTCTCTCCACCCTCTGGGCCTCCTCCTCCTCCCGGCTCCCAGGATTGTTCTACAACCCACGCCCTCATGCAGCTGCCCGGCTCTAAAGCCTCTCATGGCTCCCCATTGCCTCCCCAGCCCAAACCACACTGCTTCGCTGGGCCTCCTGGATGCTTTGCAATGACATCACAGTCTCCTGGTCCAGGCCCATGCCCCTCCGCCACCCCCTGCCTCGCCCAAGGAGCGTGTCCAGCTCCCCAGTCCTCTATGCCTTTATCCATGCAGTTCCCCCTGCCTGAATGCTGTTCCCGCTTGCTTGTCCCCCTTCTCTACCACTGGAACTCTCGCTCTATGGTCGCTCCTTGGCTGCACGTCCCCTGCACTTCACACGTCCTCTGTCATTTCCTCACCAGGCTGTGGAGGGAGCATCCCGGTGTCGGTGTCCCCCTGAGAGGTGCCCTTCTCGTATTTGGGTCCCCGGTGCCAGCCCAGTTCTCATCGACAGGAGAGAAGGCCGTGCGCAGACTCGGTGGATGTTAGACAGCCTCGGGTGAGCGTCCGGGCTCAGCCCCTCCCACCAGGTGCGCAGCGTCCTCATCTGTAAGGTGGAGACGATATTAGTTCCTCTTAAACCAGCTTGTTGAGACAATTAAAGGGCTCATCTAATTGGGTGGCACTGCCCCCAGGGGATGTTTTGGAAAGGGACGGGGGCATTTTGGCTTGTCACAAAGCTGGGGGCAGGTGGGCAGCCCACTGTATTTATTAGTGGACAGTGGACTGGGGAAGGCAGGTGACGAGCAAAGACCAGGACAGACCCGCCCAGAGAGAACACGTGACTTTCACGAGTCCCGCTGGCCACCCAGGTAGGGAAGAAACGATGCCAACGATGATTGACAATGCTACGAGTCTCGACTTTAACTAACGCTGCTGTACATATAAATAGGAAGTGTTTTTGCACAATTTGAACACACACCGAATTTCCCAGGGACACAACGAAAGACAAAACCAAGAGAAGTTTCTATATTGTTCTATCCAGAAGAGCCAAGAGTCCTCACCGTTCTGGACAGTGTCGCTGTTGGGGTGTGGCGTCCTGGCTCAGAGCTCCGCATTCCTGTCCACCTGCGGCTGTCACCTTCACGATGGTTCTGTGGGGCTGCGAGCTCCTGACCATCTCATCGCGTCTCCCAGAGCGGCTAGGCTGGAGCACTGATGTGTCCAACAAGGTTTCATTTCACACGAGGTTCTTCATGCTTCTTTATATTACAGCTGGGGTGTGACATACGGGGATTTTAAAAAGTTATGTGAGTATATAGGTTACAGCATCCATGGGCTACCTTTCAGAGTATTAAGAAGGATATGACGTATTTTTAACATAAAAGGAAGGGGTCGGGGTGAGAGTGCTGGGACCTGGGGTTTCGAGCTCCAACGAAGTTGTAAAAATTCGGACGTCGATGTCAGGGGCTCAGGACACATTTGACAGGTGAACGAATGAATGCCTGGGGACATATTGTTGAAGGGGCTCTTTGATGCCTTCATGTACCACCCACAGGTGACCTCTTGTCTGGGCCCGCGTGAGGTATTCTGCCCCCAGTTCCAGAACCTTCTAAGTTCCAGAACCAGCTAAGCACGAGACCGCCTTGGTCCTGGTAGCCAGCTCCTGGCTGGGTCAGAAGCTGCTCAGGAGAACTTTGTCCCTCCCCACGGGGTCCCTGAGCAGATCTGAAGGCCCAGCCCGAGCTGGACCAGGCCCGCGGTCCTGCCATCAGGGACCCTGCAGCTTCCGGGATGCGAGCGGGACTCCCGGCCAGTCGGAGGTGGGGGCCGGGCGGGGGGGCGGGTGGAGTGTGTTTCTGGGTGCCTGGCTCCTTCCTGCTGGGAATAAAAATCATCACATTTGCTTCAGACTTATTTCCTTCCTCACACACTTTCTCTTTATAGGGAGAAATACTTGTCAAAAGATCTCCAAACTGGGCGGGAGCATGGACGCTTCTGCCCCTCTGTTCCTTCCTGCCCAGGGCGGGTAGCATGGTCGACAGTCCAGCACGGCCCCTCCACATCGGTGCTGGACACCCAGTCCACTCACTGAGCGTCTTCTTCTTTCCTTTGCTAACCCCACATCACTCTATTACTCTGTAATTTGTTTTTATGCTAAATAACGTGTTTGGGACAATTTTCCCGGGCTGCGCATACACACCAGCTGCTGGTCATTCTGGAGATACCCCTCCATCTATTTGTCTTTAAGTTTTTCTGTTAAACTGTTTTTTCCCATGGAAAGAATACATGCATGTGGTTAAAAAATAATAAAAAGCAAATGTCTCTATTTTCCCAAACCCTCCAAGTTTGCTTCTCATTTTTCGGAATGAAACTTTAAGAAATACACTCCTAGCACAACCAGAAGGACCTACCATGAGAATATACGGCTATGTACTGAGGGGGGCTTTGGGGAAAAGAAGGAAAAGAAAAAAAAAAGATTGGCAACAGATGTTAGCTCAGGTACCAATTTTTAAAAAAAAAGAAAGGAAAGAACACTCCTGTTGTGTCGTGTGTCCCTTTCAGGCAGTAACACTGATGACCCTGCACGAAAGTAGGGACTTGGTGAGGCACCCGCCCCTGGTGTGAGCTGGCTGTGCGATTTTATTTTCAGATTGGCACTTACGTCTGTCCTCCGACTGTGACTGACAGAGTGGGAAAGGTGACGGCCAGGGGCCAGTGGCTTTAGCAACAGCCGACACTCACGCAGCCGTCGCCGCGTCCTGGTGTTGCTCAGAGCCCCTGACGCAGAGGGTGACCTGCTTAATCCCCATGGCAACCCTAGGAGGCAGCAGCCTTCATTCTCCCAGTTTACAGGAGAGGAAACTGAGGCACAGAAAGGTCAAGGAGTGTGCCCAGAATGCCACGTGGCGGAATGGGGCTGAAACCCGGGCTGGCCGGGGCTCCGAGATCTTAACCGCCGCACTGGTTTCCAACAAACCCTCTCTGTGCCTGTTTCGACCTTACGTCACCCAAAGCAGGGACACAGCCCTCAGCTCATTCGGGCCCCCGTCTGCCCACGCTGCAGACGGAGAAACGCAGCCTACACCACAATCCTCAAAAAAGTCCTCGCCTGCTGAGCACTTACCAAAGGTCCCGCGTGCCAGCCGCTGTGCTCGGCACCTTGTGGGTGAGACCCGAGTCAGCCTCACGGCCAGCTCCTCAGTGGGCCCTGTTGCTGTCCCCATCGGGAAGAGGGCATGGAGGGACAGAGGCTAAGAGGGGGCTGGCCCCGGGGCCTGGGGGCTAAGTTCAGACTGATGGGCTTTGGCAGCCCAGGTTTGGACCCCAGGGTACACCTACACCACTTGTTGGTGGGCACACTGTGGAGGCGACCCACATACAAAGTAGAGGAAGACTGGCACCCATGTTAGCTCTGGGCCAATCTTCCTCAACAAAAAGAAAGAAAGGAAGGAAGAAGTTTGAAGAGGAGGGCAGGTCTGCCTGAGCGCTCAGGGCTGGCGGTCCGTGGCATTGCGGAGTGAGCCCCGGGCTGTGATCTGGGGCCAGAACCCGACCTCTTCAGGCTCCGAGTTCCCCAACATAATAAGGTCAACGTGCCAGTTGGGCCGACTCCCAGTGCCCCACCTCGCTCTGGCACCCCCTCCCCCAACTTAGCCGTATGACCTTGGGCAGGTCCCCTCCGTTCCCTGAGCCTCGGCTGTGAGAGGACAATATCGACCCCCGGGCACCAAGTCGCTAAGAGGATTAACCGAGAGGAAGTGGGCAACACCCCGAGCACATGACGAGGAGGGGGTCAGGACTCGAACCCAGGCCCCTCCTGCGGCCCACGGCCCTCCCCTCCACAGGGCCCCCACGGGTGCCCCCTCTCCTGGCTCCGTCGGCCAACATGGGGGCGAGGGGCCGCAGGCTGTGGGGGACAGCGAGGCCGTCCTTTCTCACCAGCTCTCACTGCCTCCAGGATTGGGGTCCCCCTGGGGCGGGCAGGCAGCCCTGTACCCGGCAGAAGGACCGAGTCATGTGACCCCGAGTATGGGCCCAAGCTGGTTGACAGCTCTCCTTTTTCCTGTGTGGCCCCCGTCCCCTCAGGTGGCCCTTGGGAAACCACCCATCGCCTGGCTCAGTCTGCGTGCGTCGGGTGGGGCTAATTCTCCCCCCAGGCCCTAAGCCAGGGTGGTCACGTGATCCAGACCCAGCCAGTCAGCGTGTCCTGTCCCCCAGGCCACAGGGACTGGTTTAGGGGTGATGGTACGACCTGAGCAAGGCTTCAGGACAGGGACTTCCTCCACCAGGCAGAGGCCTGCAGGCACAGACAGAGGCGGGGTTTGGTAAAGGTTCTGACTCTTCTGTTGAGCGATCAGGTCCTGAGTGTTTAATTATATGAATAAACAAAGGATAACCATTCCTGAACCTGTGACAAGAGGGGGTCGTGCAGGAAGGATTATGATTAATCCGACTCTGTGGCTCATGGTCCATCATGAGAGAAAAGACAACTTTGGAACTTAACTCAGAGAAAGGAAGCTGTGTTTCCACCGAGATTGCCAAGAGTATAGGGGGTCAGCCTGGACCTGCCAGGGACTCTCTGGCCTCTGGGTGAGAAACCCCAACCTGGAGGGAAGCAGAACGGAGAGATGGCCAGCACTGAGTGCAGAGAGCATAATCCTGGCCCCTAGATCCAACCATGCCTGAAGCCCTACTTTTGACATTTCCATTACAGGAGCAAAGACATTCTCTTTATTGCTTTGACCAATTTGATTTGCATTTCTGTCACTTGCAACCCACAGATTCCTGAGCACATCTTGGGACTGTCTCTTCTCAGTGCAGGTGAGGAAAAGTTTGCAGGAGGAGGTGAGGTCTGAGCCAAGCAGGTCTGGAAGGACGAGGTGGCACTGGGCAAACGCACAGGGAGTCACAGGCAGGGGGAGAGGCACAGAGGCGAGAAGCAGCAAGACACACAAGTTTGGTGTTTCTGGAGAGTTCAGTGGGAGGAGCCGGTCCTGGAGGTGACCGTGCAGAAGCTGCAGGGGTTTCTGCCGAGGACGTTTAGACTCGGCGTGGCGGAGGAAAGAGAGCCCGCCTGGTGTCTGGAAGGCCGCTTTGAGGTCACAGCTTGAGTCCAAGTCCTGGGCTCTTTCTGTCACAGATGGTGACAGCGGGAAACAGGACATGAGATTGAGCCTCGGGGAGGGAACGTGGGCGGCACATTCAGAACAGGAATCAGTACTTGGTGTGGCGATGTCGCCGAAGCCAGAGCAGCCTCCATGTGGCCAGGGGACTTGTGAGAGCCTGTGGCCACGCGTGCCGGCTTTTCTCGGTGGAGCTGCGGTGCCTCTGCACAAGGCCGAGATGGCTCGAGGGCTGTCAGCCTTAAGTGGCCGTGTTGTCCCTGGACCAGGGGCGGACGGTGCGTGATGGTTATAAAGTGCTCACTCCTTGCTGGGCATTAACTCAGTTACCCTCGCAATCATTTTATGTGAGAAGTACCGCTGTGTTGAAGAGACTAAGGCACAGCAAGGTCAAGTGACTTGCCTAAGGTCACACAGCCGGGAAGTGGCAAAGCTGGGATTTGAATCCAGGCAGTCTGGCTCTGCCTGGGCCCTTGGCCCCTGTCCTGTAAGAGGCTTGGAAGGCGGAGGGCTGAGATGGGCAAGCATCGCTCCCCTCTGCCTCGTCTGCATCCTGGAAACATGGCGGGAACAATAGTTTGTGGACTCCTGAGAGTTCCGGCTCCCCTCTTTCCTGCTGTCCTGGAGGAGGGCTGTGGCTTCTACAGGGCTGGGCAGGGGTGGGAACAAGGAGCACACCCCACTCTGATCTTTCACCTTTTACCTTGGAAATTCTGAACCCGAGTCCCTGTCCCCAGAATGGGGAGAATGTCCAGACCACGGGGGCAGATCAGAGTCGTTAAAATCCTCGTGGAAGCAAAATAATAATGACAATACTAATAATCCACGGGCCGTGCCCCACAGACCCACCTCAGAGCGACGGCCAGCTTAACTCTGACCTCAGAGGCTTTGTGTGTGGCTTTTAAAAACCCAAGTCCAGATCGAGGGTATTATGTTAAGCGAAATAAGCCAGTCAGAGAAAGACGAACTCTATATGACTCCACTCATAGGTGGAAGTTAGTATATTGATAAGGAGATCTGATCGGTGGTTACCAGGGAAAAGGGGGGGTGGGGGGAGGGCACAGAGGGGGAAGTGGTGTACCCACAACATGACTAACAAAAAGGTACAACTGAAATCTCACAAGGTTGTAATCTATCATAACATTAATAAAAAAAAAAAAAACCCAAGTCCAGGGCCAGCCCGGTGGCACAGCGGTTGAGTTCACGCGCTCCGCTTCGGCTGCCCAGGGTTCGCTGGTTCGGATCCCGGGTGTGGACATGGCACCGCTTGTCAAGCCATGCTGTGGTAGGGGTCCCACATATAAAGTAGAGGAAGATGGGTACGGATGTGAGCTCAGGGCCAGTCTTCCTCAGCAAAAAGAGGAGGATTGGCGGCAGTTAGCGCAGGACTAATCTTCCTCACCAATAAATACATCAATGAAAAACAACAACGGAAAACACCCACGTCTGGCAGTCTTGGCAGCATGAGCGCTCCTGGCCGGGGAGGGACCACATCCCACCTATGACGGCAGCCGGGGGCTGGGAGCCGGGCTCGGGCATCAGCCAGGCTGGGTCTCGGGTTCCAGATCCCCCTCCGCTGTCCACCGCCGGAGCCCCTCAACCTCTCCTCTCAAAATGGGGGAAACCGGGCCACTGACCTCCTGTGCAGGTGTCGAGTTTAGCGAGCGACATTTCCTCGGGATGAAAACTCAGGGCCTGGCGCCCGAGGGATGTCCAGTAGGTTTTTATTGAATTGAATGAAACACTACGATAAATAGAAAACATTTTATGATTTTTATGAGGTTAAGTAGGGAAAAAACATCCAGACTGCGGCTCTAGACCGAGTGGCAGCTCCGCCAGGATTGTGTCCAGTGGGGACAGGACGGAAGGGTCAGGGAGGATGAGGACATGGGGTGGGGGGGAGTGACTCCATTTCGTCTCCACTAACGTGGTTTGTGCGGCGCGGACGTGAGGGGGGACCGCGCTGGGTCCTGGCGGGACCCGTGTCGGGGATGCGGTGGCAGCGCCCCCGCGGCATCGCCGGACCAGCTCGGAGCCGCCCCGCTCGCGCTCCTTCTCCCGCAGAAACCCGCTCAGGGGTGCGCGGACCCCGGCGGCTCCTTGGCGGCGCCGCACGCGCTGTGGAGCCGGGATGTCGGGACCCCGCACCCTCGGGCCGAGAGAGGACGGGAGAGGGGTGCGCGGACCCTTTGCACCCCGCCCTGCTCTCCTGCACTCGGACATCCTCGTCCCAGCCTCGCCCGGCCCGGGCGAGGGTTTGGACCCCGCGTCTGGCCCAGCGCCGGGCGCAGACCCTGAACTCCAGCGTGAGCCCCGCGCGCCCTGCGCACCCCTCTCCCCGCCCCCCAGCCGGGCCTGCTGCGCTCTGCTCACCACCTTCAGGGGGACGACCACCCACCCCAAAGGGGCAGCGTGTGGGGCCGCCTGATGGCAGAAGCAGACGCTGCCTGGTGGGCTCTGGGGAGGGGAGGTGTGGAGCGGGCAGGAGGGGGTGCGCCGCAGAGCTAATGGCATTCACAGACCCTCAGGGCGCACAGGGCCGAGCTCCCATCCGGGGCCCCGGGAGGGGACAAAACGCAGGAGCAGAGCCACAGCAGGTGCCCTGTGGGCCCCCAAGCCCTTCACTTAAGGGACTTGACATCCTGGGGAGGCAGGGGGTAGCGATGATATTAATAATAATAACCACCACCACAGTCACTGCCATCTGCTGGTGCTTACTGGGCTGCTTCTAAGAACTTTCGCCGCAGGGACTCGGGCTTCACATTGAACGTCTGAGGTAGGTAATCTGTTGTCCTTATTTTGACTCAGAGGGAACCAGAGAGGTTAAGTCATTTGCCCAAGGTCACACAGCATCTAACCCAGATCGGAAGGGATCCATAGCCCACCCTCTTAATCTCGGTGGCTATGTGACTGTCCAACTTCAGTGTCCGTCACATCGTTCGGGGTGCTGGTGAAATGCAGACTCCTGGGCCCCACCTGGACTCGCTGGATGCTAGGGCAGCCGCTCTGAAGCTGTATTTTGACAAGTGCCCCAGGTGATCCTTGGGATCAGGCGCGATTGGAAGATCCTGCCCTTGGCTGTCAGAGGAACCTGCCTGAGGGCAGAAGCACCCAGCTGCGTCTGGCTTTGAGGGCTGCAGCCCGTGTGGGGAGGAGTCTCTGGTGTCTCCGGGCTGACGGGAGGCTGCCCCGGGTTGGCGGAGGGGCCGGTACTTCTCCGGCCCGCTGGGTCTGGCAGCCTGGAGGCAATGAAGGCCCAAGGCCTCGGCTAAAAGGCCTGGGCAGGCGGGGCTCTCGGCTGGCTGATCAGTGGGGGCCTGTCAGTGCTGGGGTGAGGCCTGGTGGAGGAGGGACGCCCACGCCTCTCCCTGGGGGCAGGCAGGAGCCTTCCGGGCAGATCTTCCCCGACTTCGACTCACCCTCCCAGCCTCTGCCCTCCCACCACCCGGGACCTCTGCTGGTCACCTCTCTGTGGTGACGTTTCCGCCCCTCCTCACGAGGCGCAGCAGGTTCAAACCCTTGCACAGTCAGCACCTCATCAACAGTCACAGCCACCCTGATGGACATGCACAGGGTGCTGTGTGACCCCCACCCCACCAAACAGGAGACCGAGTCCGGGAAGGATGCGCAGGTTGCACACTGCATAAGGGCAGCCAACTCAGCGGGCAGGTGGGGTTGAGGTGCAAGCTGGCCGGCCCCCCAGTCACGAGCCCTCGCACGGGGCTGTTCCCCAGGGGTGGGGTGGGTGGGGCCTGCTTTCCAGTCGGCACAGGGGCCCCGGGTGGGCAGATCCAGTCTGCAGGAGGAGGCCGAGGTTTGCCCTGGGTCACACCGTTGCCAGGTCACAGGTCCTCAGGCCCCTGGACCTCCATTCCAATAGGCCAGCCATTTCAAGTCCCTTTAGCCAGAGAGCCCTTATTTCAAATAACCTCTTCTGTAAGTAATCAATGATAATAACACCAGCCAATGGGGGGTGAGCCCTTCCTAGGCGCCCGGTGCTCCGTGAAGCATTTCTCACGGATTGTCTAATTTAGTCTTAAACCCGTGTGCCACAGAAAGTTCAACCAGGGACCCTTCCCTGGGACCTCAGCAGCCTTCTAGGGTCCTGTCACCCTCAAAAGCCACCTCACCACCCCACTTTCCAGTCTTGGTGAAGAGAGGAAATGCTCACCTAGGGTTCCATCTGCCCAGGCTCCGCCCACGCCTTCTTTTTGGGGTGCCGCCCCTCCCAACTCCCTCTCATGCTGTGAGGAGGGGCTGCCCTGCTCTTTTATGACCTCACCCCTGGACCACAGCTGATTGGTCCGAGGGTGGGCGTTTGATCCCAGCTGGACCAATCATGGTCCTTCCACAGGTTTTCAAGCTGGAATGCAGGAAGGGCCCTTGCCTGGTGATGGGATGCAAGACGTGGCTCCAGAGATCTCCTTGGCTGTGTCCCCGCCTGTGGGGTACTCCGTCTGCAAGGAGAGGGCGTGAGCACAGGCTGCACAGAGTCCTGTGGTGTCAGGTTTTCTGCTTCCAGTTTCCGGATCCAGCGGCATCCCAGCCCTGCTTGCTGTTTGCTTGTTCATTCCTTTTTATGTTGGCCTCGGTGGACACGGCGGGTTTCTGCCTCCGGCCAGAGAAGAAGGAGGGGGGGGAGGAGGAGGGAGAGAGAGTCCGAGGATGAGGCTGCTGCCGAGGCCGCAGCTGTGTCGTGTGGTGGATGGCTGAGCTGAGCTGACCACTCCACAGCCATCCTTGCTCGTCTTTTCTTCTGGCGGAACCTGCGCCCCAGGCTTCATGCAGAGAACGAACCGGGCCGATGAGACGAAAGGGAGGGTGCTGGAGGCGGCGGCTGCCAGGGGGAGTTTCCCTTATTATTCCAAGGGGACCTGTGACAGGGGCTGTGAGGACATAGCTCGGTGTCCCCAGGTATCCGTTTGACCCTTTCTCCACGTAGGAGGAGTTTTTAGTTGGGCACCTGGCTGTGCAGCCAAGGACTGTGCTTCCCAGCCTCCCTTGCAGCTAAGTGTGGCCACGCAGCCAAGTTCTACCCACTGGTGTGAGTGGAAGTGACGTGTACAACTTCTGGGGCCGAGTCTGAAGGCCGAGGGGCGTGTCCTCCCTCCCCCCTTCCTGACGACTAGAATACTTACTCGTGATGAGGCATCTCCATCCTTGCAGGTAAGGGTGACAAGATAGAGCGGCCTAGCTCCCGGGACTGCTGGCTGCCATGTGAACCCTGAACGGGCCTTGAACTGCAAAGGGGCAGGAAAACAGCCTTCCATCTGGTTTAATCCATTGCAGCTGTGAGTCTTGTTACAGCAGCTGTTCTACCTAATACAGGATCTCTGGTCTTCCTGCTTTAGATCTTGCTGCGCTGTCTGGAACTGTGGCAGCCATCTTGCGACCATGAGGGGAAAGTCAAGACCGAAGTTGAGAAGCCAACTGAGAAGTCACTTCCGTGGAGCTGCTGAATCTGCCAACTCTGCAACCACTCATTTCAGACATCCTGTTAGACGAGATAAATTTTTTATTATTCAAGCTCTTTGCATTGGTCTTTCTATCTCATGCCAACGGAGGTACCTGATGCGGTATGTGGTGGAGTTGCCTAAAGTCATACCCTGGCCAGGGACAGTGGAAGGCTCCCAGTGGGGAGATTTGAGACCCACACCCACGCCGCCATCAGGAGGTTCTGCCCCTTCCTTCCAGAAGGTGCAAATCCAGCCCCAGAACTTTCTAGACAAAACAGTTGTCAAGAGTGTTGATGAAATGGCCTGTCTGTTTATCCATCAAGAAAAAAAAGGGAGCGAGAGAGATGAAGACACCACAGCTAAGGCGTGTGATGGCGGGGGTGGCGTTGTGACCTCTGACCAGGAACGCGTGTGCGTCTCTCCCCGACCCCGGGCGGCCTCACCCTGAGCCCTTCCATTTCTGTCCATGACTTGGTTTCTGTCCATGACAGGAGCTCCTGTGCATTGTTCAGGCTCTCAGCAGGAAACAGAAGTCATCTCAGCCAGGAACTGGCGGAGGATTCAGTGAAGGGACTTCCCGGAGGTGTGGCCGCGGCTAAAGGAACGAACGATGGAGGCACCGCGCACAGGCGACGGCAGGAGACTGAAGGCACCAGGGAAGAGGGCCTCCAAGGGTTGCAGTGTGGGAGAGGGCCGCCCGCTGTCCAGGGATGCAGCCGAAACCTGGTGGAAATGCCCTCCCCTCCCCTCCCACTCGCTGATCTCCTGCCAGCGTCTCCCGTCACCTGAGGGCCACCTCTCAAGACCCTGCGGGAGCCTGGGGGATGCAATCCTCAGAGGTCGACCTCCTGGGGCGGGGAGGGGCAGAGCGTGGATGAGGGCAGGCGTGGCGTGCGCCTTCAGGTCCGCTTGTCCCAGAACTGCGGAAGCCCCCCTGTTGGTGGGAGGCGCGGGTGGGGAGGAGAGGGGCACAGAGGCCTCAGCCGGGCAGGTCTGGTCGCGGAGGATCCGGGTGCCGAGGCCCCGTGCCGGTGGCTGGCACTGGGCCGCCTTACGGGAAGAGGAGAGCCCAGGGGTGAGGGAGGGGGAGCCCGCTCCCCTGCAGGCCACCAGAGGGGCTCTCAGGAAGGGCCCCTGGAAATCCATGGCGAATGAGGAAAAACGCAGACATATAGATAACTTGAAAGACCCAGGCTTGCTGGAAGTGGTTTCTGATCCCGGCTCGGCTGCTGGGCAGCCCGGCTCACAGCCTCTATTTTTCATCAGGGGCCATTCGGTAGCGACACCTGATTCCTTCGAGTTGCTTTGAAAGGGGGTCCTGCTCTGTCTTCCCTGTGGGGCCGCTTTGCCCCGTCCCCAGGAGCCGTCTTGTCCAGCCCGGCACGGGGGAGGTCTCCGGGGGCCGTGGCTCTGCAGATGGCGGAGGTGGGGCCACGGGTTTGGACCTCAGAAAAATGATGCATTTTGGGGCAAGTCATTCTATCTCTCTGAACCTCAGTTGCCTCGTCTGAGAAATGGGGTAACAACAGAACCGCTTCGCAGTGGCGTCTGAGGACTCAGCGTGACCGTGCACGTGCCTGGCCCAGCACACGCGGCTCCTGCGGGGGAATTGCTCCGGGCACACTAAGGGGCATCTGAGCTGTTCTGTTCTGGGGGGCGCTGCCCGCGTCCACACCCTAGCTCCACCCACCTCTCTAAGCTGCGGCTTCTCATCTGTAAAATGTGAGTGTTGACCGTGTCCACCTCCCGCGGTCGACGTGGGCATCAGGAGAGAGGATGCACGGGTGGCACAGACCTCCAGCAAACGTTAGATAGAGGGTAGCTGTTGTGGTTATTGATGTTATTATTATTTCATGAGAAGATTGGGATGAAAGAGCAAACAACCCAAAGTCGCTGCTATAGGGTGGGCTCTGAGCTGGGAGGGGCTGTTGTAGGCTAGGCCGCTGTGACCCTGGTGCTGCGTCCGTCTCCCGTTATCGGAGTAAGAAATGACTCAGGAAGGTGGCCCTCCTGGTCACAAGATGAATCCTTGGGGTACGAAGGGGCGCTGGTGAGTCAGCGCCGTAAACAAGGCCTGGAGCCTCGGCATCACACGGGCTGTGGAACTTCGTTCAGCTCTCTGACCCTCGGTCTCGTCTTCTGTAAGGTTCCTCCCAGCACCACTGTTACAGTTGGATATAAAGGACTCTGGGCTCAGCTCATAGTCAAGCGTGATGGGTTTTCAAAAACTTATTGGTTGGACAGGATCAGCGTCCTCAGCTCCCTGGAGGGAAAGGAACAGAAGTGTCCCTCTTCACTGTGGACAGAGGACACACGATTGACACCACTCATCACAGGGAAAGGCAACCAGAACCATAACGAGCTATCACCACACGCCTGTTAGGGTGGCTGCCATCAAAAAGACGAGATAAGAAACATCGGCGAGGAAGCGCCAAAAAGGGCCCCCTGGTGCCTTGTTGGTGGGAACGCGAATGGTGCAGCCATCATGGAAAACAGTGTGGAGGCTCCTCAAGAAATTAAAAGTAGAAACACCATACGACCCAGCGATTCCGCCTTGGCTATTTATCCAGAGGCAACGAAACCATTATCTCTAGGAGACGTCCGCACGCCCACGTTCACTGCGACACTATTCACGATAGTCTGGTGGACGATGCTTAGCTCAATGGATCAAGAAATATCAAGAAATGGGTCAAGAACATATGCTAATATGTGCTAAATACGTAATGGAATATTATTCCACCTGTAAAAAGAAAGAAACCCTGTCATGTGTGACAACACGGATGACCCTGGAGGGCGTTATGCTACGTGAAATAAGCCAGACAGAGAAAGACAAGGACCACATGGTGTCGCTCGTGTGGGGAATGGAAAAAAACAGAAGTGGAACTCATAGAAACAGAGTAGAAAAGTGGTGGCCAGCGGCTGGGGGGAGGGGAAATGGGGAGAGGTGGGTAAAAGGTACCACTTTCAGCAGTAAGATGAGTAAGGGCCGAGGGTCTAACATAAAACATGGCGGCTGCAGATGAGAACGCTGCATTATATCGTTTAAATTTGCTAAGGGAGTGAAACTTAAATGTTCTCACCAAGAAAAAAAAAAGGAGAGTAAAATTGGGGGTGGAAAAAACAAGACGCATGAGAGGTCGTGCTCGTGCCAGAGAACGACCCAGCAATGCGCGGGCGGGAGGACCCAGCCGGCTGTCCCCTCCAGGCCTGTGTTTGCTAGTAGGTTCCACACGCACCAGGCAGCCAGAGTTACCCGAGGCCTCCCCCGCCGGCCAACCAGGCAGCCCTGGGGCGCGCGAGACTGTCTCCCCTCTCTGAGTCCTGGGCGGGTATACAGTCAGTGCTCAATAAGGAGAATCGCACCTCTGGGCATTGCGTAACCATTCACAAAACTCCCACAGCTGTCATCACCTCTCAGTCCCACAGGACTGTGCCGGCTCCGCTGGACGGGGAGACGTGCCCGACGTCACGCAGGGGTGCGATCTGATCTACGTGCGCCCATCACTCCTTGGATAGTCCTCCAAAACCACAGCTGAGGCGTTTTGGTTCGTTTCTTTTCGTTTTGTAGAATTCTTCTGGTGTCTTGGGTCGCGCGCTCACAGCTTTCCATCCGTCACTTCATTTAATCCTCCTAATTGTGCTGTGAGCTAAGTGCTACCGTTGGCCCCATTTTACAGGAGTAGAAACAGAGAAATCGGGACAGAGCCATGATTTGGGAGCAGGTCCATTCTTCAGAGTCTTCCAGAACCTTCTGAGCCACACTCTCAACCACCACGCTCTACCGACCAACA